ATTTTTTAATTTTTTTTAAACACAATTTTGTAATTCTAAAACCTGTAAAATATGCAGCAAACTGAAATATTTGTATGTCCTATGTATTACATAGAAGATAGAAGTGTAAAATAATTACTGAATCATAACGGCCGAATGTCTAAGGGCTTTCAAGTCTTATTGATAAGCGCTATAAATAGCATGTATCCAATCGAACCTCGGAATTGATTATAAAATGCCAGCATTTCTTCAGCAAGTTCCGCGGTAGCTCCATCCATTAGTATAACGTCTCGGTACCTATTGATTATTGCTCCAGCAATTAAATAAAATGCACGTAGATTAATTGCATGAACTACCGAAATAGTATTCTTGAAAAACTTGAATATTGATTTGATATGGCCATTACGTGCTTCTATTATCCATCTGGATTTTGTGACTAATCTCGAATCATTAGCCTCTGCAGTGTCAAGTTGTCTTTGCCCTTGCTGAAGAAATGCTGGCATTTTATAATCAATTCCGAGGGCTTGCAAAAGAGGTAATACATCTCTGTAGCCGCGATCGACGATCACTATCGCATCCTCTCCTAGTCATTCTCTGAGAGTACCTGCATCTGCTTGGAACTCGTTTTGTAGCATTGCAGCGTCGTTATTTTTAGAATCTGCAAAGTAAGGACCATGAATGTCTAAAATATAGCCATCTGGTGCAACTATCAACGCAGGTTTGACTAAATGACGTCCTTTGTGTTGGCTAAATGATTGTCTCAGGGCTCGAAAATTGCTAGACTTCTCAATATAAGAATATGTGCCATCTATACATACGATCACTGTAGGATTATTAATATCTGGATTGTATAGGGTATTAGAAAATTCAGTTACATGATTATTAATATAATCTTGTCGTGTGATCGCAGTTAGTCCTATATTTTGAGGTACGAAACGTGACATTAATGATTTTCTTACTGTGGCGACGGCCAAGCTAACGGCTTGCCTGCTTTGATAATTAAAATGACTCTCAAGAAGTCATCACAAAGACCTTGACGAAGTTTACAAAGAAATGCCAATAAATCTTTTTCGTATACATATCGATTGCCTTTCGGTTCAGGTACAGGATCACAGTACTGTAGTAGTTCACGAAACTGTTCTTTTGTCATAGAGCTTAATAACTTAAAGTCTTCATCAGATAAGTTATTTTGATTGATAAAATCAGATTCATGTGCTTTTGAAACTTTCTGTAGATTTGTAAGGAAACATTGCAATTGATAGCCAACTAATCTATAAAGTCTATTCAAATACTGCAAACCCGGAAGAAGTGCTTGTAACAGAAAACCATTTTCAGCTAAATGATGTGGACAAGAACGTACTTCATCTGGAATATATACGTTCACACTTATAAATACTTGAGCTCTAGCCGCTGGTGAAAGCCTATGAACATTATTATTAGCATTACAGATTAGACAAGTTCTCATATCACTTTGTTTAAGGACGTTAAGTCGAATGCATGTAGGATCATCCTGCATATCTATTTCAGATTCAACTAATCTAAAGCATGTCATACATAAACGAGATTCATTTCGTAATTCTTCAATGGGCCTTCGAAGATCTTGTCGAAAACGAATAGCTATTTGTCGCTTATTTTCATTATTATCTTCATCGAGTTTTTTCATTACCCTTGGTTGCCCAGCTACGTCGCAGATAAAACAACGAATTCGATTTCGAAATGCCATTTTCGAGAATAACTCGAATACATTAAAACCAGTATTCACAGTAAATAAAAGTCAGATTTACTTAATAGTTATTCCGAATCAGATTATGGTAAGTAAAGGAAACATAGGCAAACTTAACGTTATTATTAGTCTATAACTATCTGTAGATTTATAAACGTGCCGCACCAAGCTCGATGTCATATGATGGCCGCGTTACTTCACTGTCAAGAAACGATGAGACAAACAATATATGTAAACGGCCGCTAAAGCTTCTTGTTTACAGAATTCGATTCATGCACACGTGTTATTACACGTGTTATTACTTTATTACGAACACTGGGGTTCATGTGCTCATGTTGCAAGTATTCTCTGGTTTTTAGGATACGCACGACATCAACCTAATACTAAATATCCCAGCGTCACATTACTTAATCACATAAAAGACGCTGCTAATAGATATAATCAAGATGAAGAAATCGAAGGAGAAGTTATTGAACCATTTTGAATGTTTTAATGACAAAAAATGGCCCTTATCAGGGCCCAAATGATGTGCAAATCTGATCGCGCAACCTCCACGTGGTGCACATTGGGTGACGCTAATGCCGACGGTAGTTTGTATACATATACGTACCGTGTGTGTAGGCATGTATTACAAATACATTCGAATCACATCGTTAAATAACTCCTTACACTATTTTATACTAGTAACTGCGGGCATCGACATTTTCAACTTTTGACTCATTTTATCTAAAAAACTGGCCATTTTCGGAGCTTGTGCCCATTGCAACTTTTCATCGGGATGTCTTGAACTACAACATACTCCATCCCCAGCCCATTTGACTGTACACCGGTTTCCCTTTATTTTGTGCGGGGTCCTTTGTTGCGTTGTCACTAAAAATGATGTGTGGACGTCCTCTTCTACTGATGAATCGTCGAAGGGTGGCGAGGAACGCCGCCGAAGTAAGTTCGCTCACTGCCTCCAAATGAACGGCCTTAGTGGCAAAGCAAATGAATAGTGCTACATAAGACTTGTTAGTCTTGCGACCTCGACTCTTGTTCACTAGAGTTGTAATAGGACCGGCGAAATCAATGCCGGTAACGGCGAAAGCTCGATCAGAACATACTCTGTCACGTGGAAGTGATCCCATTAACTGCGATAATTCTTGTGGATTGGCTCTAGCGCAGCGGACGCATTCTCGACAGACGCGTCTAGCCAAATTTCGGCCCCTTATAGGCCAATATCGATTTCGAATGGAGGTCAACATCTGAATTTGGCTCCCATGTAATAATCGTTGATGCTGTCTCTCAAACAGTAACCTTGAAAATTTCGATTTGTCTGGCAAAATTATAGGGTATTTTCTTTCGAATGCCCATGAAGAGTGTTGCAATCGTCCACCTACCCTTAATAAATGTTGTTCGTCTAGGAACGGATGCAACTGTATTATCCTGCTTGTCGAGCTGAATTCATTGTTCTTCTTGAGAGAGATAATTTCTTCAGCGAACGCGCTCATTTGTGCGTAGCGAGCTAGATGCATGTGTGCTGCTTCAATTTCCGTCGTGGTTAAATGTGATAAAATCCTCTCGCTTGGAATCCTTCGAACGTTGCTTAGGAAACGTAGGCAATATACGAACACACGCTCGATACGTGTCAATGCTGAATACTTGTCTATTAATTCTTTGATTACGTGCTGTTTGCTACTGATGAGAGCACAGGCATGCGCGATTCTCTTCTCCTCTGCTTGAGCTTGACTTGTCACTTCCTTAAGGTGCTTTTTCATGCGCAGCACGCTGCAGCAGCAATTCGTTACTATTGGTTAAGAATTTTATGTAAGCTAGATAACGCACTTCCGGCGCAAAATACATTTTGCCGCAGTTCGTTGAAGTTGAACCGAACGAACAGCAAGCAGCAAGCGGCAAAATCGAGAAAGCGTACAATATGTCCGTCGTTTCATTATGAAAATATTATTTATTGCAATAAATATTAGGAAAATAAACGAAAAATGGCTTCGGATAAGGTACGGATACATGTTTGTAAATTAGATCATTTTATACTTTACCACAAATTTGAAAAAGTAAAGTGTAAAGTATAAAATAATCTAATTTACAAACATTCGTACCTTATCCGAAGCCATTCTTCGTTTATTTTCCTAATATTTATTGCAATAAATAATATTGCCTCGATTTTGCCGCTTGCTGCTTGCTGTTCGTTCGGTTCAACTTCAACGAACTGCGGCAAAATGTATTTTGCGCCGGAAGTGCGTCATCTAGCTTACATAAAATTCTTAACCAATAGTAACGAATTGCTGCTGCAGCGTGCTGCGCATGAAAAAGCACCTTTAGATGAATCGCAAACTTGATATTCTATTTGTCTGAAGCTCTAGTTGTAACCATTTCGGTCCCTTCCACCAAAGCTCCGAAACCTTGAGTTGTTGCAATGTTGTGCCTCGTGATATTAAGTCAGCGGGATTTTCAGTTCCTTTAATGTGCCGCCAATGTTTTGCCGGTAATAGCTCATTTATTTCCATCATACGGTTGGTTACGAAGGGTTTCCATCTGGAAACGTCCCCTTGAATCCAATATAATACTATCTTTGAATCCGACCATGCTAATATGCCGTCAATGTGTATTCTCAGACTTTGTTGTGGATCAAGTGCGCCAGTATAACCGCGCCGCACAACTCCAATCTAGGTATGGAGGTGGGTTTGATTGGCGCTACGCGCAACTTGGAACATAAATTAGCTGTTAGGCGACCCTGGTTGTCAATGGCTTGAACGTACACACACGCGCCATATGCATTTTCTGAGGCGTCGCAAAATCCATGCAGATATACTCTAGACATGACCTTGTTGGGAATTATTTGTCTGGGAACGCAAATAGTCTTTGTCGCGTTCAAATCCTTGCAAAAATCTTCCCACTTTGCTGTAAGCGAGTCTGGCAATGGGCGAGTTCAAGACGACAAAGCGGCTAGGTACGCTTACCGAGCGATCGAGTATGATTGGTTGGATCTATAAGTAATAACCAATTATATTCAATCGCTCGGCAAGCATACCTAGCCGCTTTGCCGTCTTGAACTCGCCCAATGGCTCATCCCAATGGCACTTTGTGAGTCAGGCCTGCCGCATAATCAACTTGGCTGCCGTCAGTACCGGCCCAATCAGACCATGCGGGTCAAAGAATTTGCTTATTTCTGAAAGAACTTCACGCTTAGTGACAGCTGCCTCCGCCATTGCTACGAAGAATTGAAACTCATCGGCCTTGGGATTCCACTCCAGGCCCAATGTTTTGATTGTGCCCTCGGCATCAATGCGGATGCTACTTGTATTCTCTCTCAAATGAATTGGCACCTTATCCATTACCCTTTCGCTATTAGAGCACCATTTGTGTGCCATAAACCCTCCGCGCTGTAACACCATCTCAAGCTGCTCTCTCAATGCTACAGCGCTCTCTATATCGTCTGCACCTGCAAGAATGTGAGTCATCTACATATGTTTGTTCAAGCAATACTTGTGACGCTAGAGGGAATTCTGAACGTGCTTCCTCAGCCAGCATTTGTATGCACTTGATCGCTAAATACGCAGAACTCGCCTGACCATATGTAACCGTATTTAGGCGAAATTCCTTAACTGGTTCGTCCTGCGAGAATCTCCAGAGTATCCGCTGGTAGTCTCTGTCATCTGGATGCACGAGAACCTGTCGGTACATCTGTCTAATATCTCCAGTCAATACAACGTCGTGAAATCTAAAACGCATTATAATGTCAAACAAGCTACTCTGATTTGTGGTCCCGACGCGGAGCACATCGTTTAAAGATTTTCCAGGGCCGGGATTCTCTAAACGTTTTATCGATGATTGTCGCTATCGTTAACTAGCGACAACCAATGGCATGAAAATCCTAAGAGAAAGCGCGGCTCTCATTGACTGTCGCTAGTTAACGATAGCGACAATCATCGATAAAACGTTTAGAGAATCCCGGCCCAGAACTGGTCTTGCTTGATGCATCAAATACCACGCGGAGTTTAGTAGTAGAGCTTGTCTCCTTGACTACTCCGTGGTGTGGTAAATAGACTACCGGGTGTTCGAGATTTTGACCCGAGTCGGTCACTATAGACATGTGCCCCGCCTCGAGATAATCACGCATAAAATCTACATATCGCTCGTGTAACACGCTGTCTTCCTTGAAACGCCGCTCTAAAAAACGTTGCGCTAAACGCTTGCTCATGATGTTTCGAGAATCTCCCAGTGTTCTAGGATCGTTGCGAAAAGGAAGTCGCACGATAAATCGACCTTTCTCTTCCCGCGAGGTTGTCTCTTCAAAAAATGTATCGCTTTCACTTGCCTCCTTCGACGGAGGTACGTACCTCTTCACATTTATAATCCTCCCACGCCCAAAAACGTTGCAAATTTTTATTGAGCGTGTCGCATTGCTCTACCGAACAAACTAACGAAGTAGCTACGCGACCTTCATTGTGCGCGGACGGGAGGCTGCCTGTAAACGCTCCGGCGACCACCCAACCGAGTTGAGTGTTTTGTAATATCGGACGGCCGTTACCAAGCTCGATTCTTTCCGATTCCAACCAATCGAAAAAGAACTCTGCTCCGATGAGCATGTCAATAGAACCTCGTTTATAAAATTCCGGGTCTGCTAGCTGTACATTCGTCGGTACCTTGAACGCGTCTCGATCAATCTCGACACACGGCAATGACTTTGTGATTTTTGGCACTATGAGACCGCGAATGCTATAACAAACATCAGAATATCTAGATTGTATGACAACTTCGCAAACTTGACTGACCACACTTTCGGTCTCGCTTAATCCTGTCACAATTTCCGACGCCCGATCGCGTTTCACCCTTAGACGGTTGCACGTCGCATGCGTAATGAAATGTGCTTCACTAGCGCTGTCCAACAATATACGCAATGGAACCCTGGATCCATTCGAATGCATTGCATTGACTACTGCTGTGGCCATAATCACATGTCTCCTCGTTGATACCCTGGCAGCATGATGTACGACGACGTTGCTGCTCGCCTTGTCGCCGTCGCCTCGGGTTGTCAGTTCGGCTGCTGGCTTGTTACTTAGAGAATCCTTCACCTTGGTTGGATGATGGCACAATGTGTTGTGCTTGCCGGAACATTCTCGGCACGTTCCCATCATGCACGTTCTGACAAAATGATCGTTGCGAAGACAGTTTGAACAAAGTTTAAGCCGACGTACCTCCTTCATTCGCTCTTCGATTGTTAGCGCAAGGAACTTCTCGCAATGATATAGGAAATGATCACCTTGGCACAGGTAACACCTTGGTGGCCGTTACATTGGCTAGCGCGGCCGTCTTCTCTTGAGCCTTTGGTTTATGCTTGCTAGCTTCCTGCTTCGCGGAAATGTTTCCTTCCTTGCCTCTTACTTCTATCCTTTCAAGCATTTGACATCTCCTTTCTAGAAAGTCAGTCAATGCCGTTAACGTTGTGTCAGTGGCGCTTCTGTCCTGCTCCCAAGCGCGGAGCGTAACTGTATCTAGCCCATAGAGATAGTAGTACTAGAGTACGCATTGTAGGAGTGGGGGTAATCCTATCTAGAAAAGGACGCACTCATTTGGGCCTTTTCGTTCTCTCTCGTTTCGCGCATGCGTATAGCCATATACTCTGAGAGAGGGGATCGAAAGAAAGAACGAGTCGAACGAGAAAAGTTTCATCATTACATGACCGGACAAGCCTAATTGAGCCTGATCACTTTGGAATCAAACAAAGAATTGAGTTTGATAAGGTTAAGGGCTCCCGATGAATAATATCAATAAATATTAATGATAAAAATCTATTACTTATACCTCTATAATTCCAGTTATGCGAGCATATTGGCCAGCACCACCAGATTGTTTCTTATAAAGATAGTCAAATTCACATGGTTTAGTTAAGTTTCGCGGAAAGAAATTTTTGGCTTTCCAAGAATAATCGGACAAGCCTGATCTCTTTGGAATCAAACAAAGAATTGACCTTGATAAGGTTAAGGGTTTCCCAGTGCCAAGGGTTGCTCTTTCAATTCCTTATTCTTTCTTTCGATCCCCTCTCTCAGAGTATACGGCTATACGCATGCGCGAAACGAGAGAGAACGAAACGGTTCCAAATGAGTGCGTCCTTTTCTAGATAGAATTACCCCCACTCCTCAAATTTCTGACAATGCGTACTCTAGTACTACTATCTCTATGATCTAGCTTTGCTTCAATCATATGTATGATTAATTCATCCATGAATTTGCCCATGAATCAGTGGGCAAATTCATGGATTTCAATACTCGCAAATGCCTTAATACGTAATCCACCAAACTTCGAATTGCGGTGGCCGATTCCTTGCCTATTTTCGGCATTGTAAAAAGACACTCGATGTGTTTCTTGTTGATAGCCCGAGGATCGTCGTACCGTTTTTTCAGCAATCTCCATGCAATAATTTCGTAATTCTCGGCAGTCAATTCGATGGACTCGACAACCTTGGCTGCATTGCTGTTTAGTGAAGTGACCAAATATTGAAACTTCTGTAGACTTAGAATATTCTCGTTCGTATGAATCATTGACATGAATGTTTCCAAAAAACACTTCCATTCTTCCGTTCGCCCATCGAACATAGGAAGTTTTATGACTGGCAACTTGACTCTTGAATCTGGATTACTAGCGTTACTCGTATTCGCGATGCTACGCATTAGCTGTGCTTGCTGCTCGAATAATCTTGTGAGCACGTCACTATTGTTGTTTAACGCTTGTGACTCACTTTGTTGCTGGCTCAATTGTTGCATGAGCTCTCCTTACTGTTGCAAAACTCGCACCAACGCATCGTCGCTCGTCGACAAGCGTGCCTCGCCTTGGTGTACCGGCGCATTCGTCCATTGTTTTAACTTGATTTTTGTCTCGAGATACTTGTCCTCAAATTCTACGTCTTCAGAGACGTCTGCAACCGTTGGCTCGCCTTCCGCGATGCTGTTTATCTCGCGTTGTACATCCTGAAATTCCCTTTGAATTTCCTCTAGTCGTGCGATGTACACTTCCGCTTCTTGTCGGCCTACCTGAAGTTCTTCGGCCTTCTCGATCCTTGTCTTGAGCCTAGTCATCTTTGCTTTAACTAAGCCTCGTTGCTTGCGAAACTTCGTGAGCTCTTCCATTTTAACCTCACTTGCACGTCGTTACCGCGATCTCGCTGTATATATCGCTATTCTCGTCTCAATGCTTTCTATCCGGCTCGATTGGACCAATTTTATGTTCCGTGTTGGTGTTAATGAAACTCCTTTCGTAGTGGACTGTATTATTTACGATTTATTGAGAAGAAAATACTAACGCAACGTACAAGCGATTATTCGTTACAGAACTCGAATTATTGTGTATTAGTTCGGGCGCGCGGTGCTTTCGACGACGAATCGGTAACATCGGCGCTTCGAACCGCGGGTAACTTGCTAACGGAATCGCGATCACATTCTCTATCAGTCTCCAACACAGACTGTATTATATATTTTACATATTAATATATAGAGGAAAGTCACCGATACTGACATAGGTCTCCTAAAGTGACACCCCCTTATTTCTCGTAAACTAATCTTTGCAATTCATTAATACTAATGAAAACATAATCTGTTTAGGTAATTAAAGAAGAAAAAACCCATAATTCATATAGATGTGACTTGTTTTTATACAAAATCAGCTAAAAACGAATTCTACAAATGTGAAAACAAAATTCTTATGATGTTATTTTATAAATTACGTAGTTTATGTAATAGTAGCTATATTAGTGATAATATTAAGTCCTTTTATATGTTTGTAGTTTTCTAAAACTATTTTATTTATATTTTCCTGTTTCTTATTTTTCTTATAATACGGTTTTAAAAATAAAATCGTTTATAGCCTAAACCGGCATGTCGTCACGTGTCCCATCACGACATATCGCGCATCGTAACATAACCTGCACACTGCGGTCACATGCGCATGCTCTGTGGCCATATACGCATATGTCAGTTTTGGGGCCCATTTTGTCTGACGCTCGTTTTCGCTTCTTCGATAAAAAGGTTAATTATTGCAAAATTCTTAACAGTATTATAAAAATTGCTATAGAGCATCGATAGAAGACAGTTTCCAGTTTACATTTGTATCTCCAAAGATTTATTTTTTGCTTTTGTCTAAAAAATATAGTCTAAAAACAAAGTAGTATGTCGGTATCGCTGACCTTCCTCTACATATATATATATACAGTTCTATTTTGTAGACATACATTATAGATTATAATATCAATTTTATTCTGAGATCCGGGCACAGTATAAGTAAGTAGTTCCACTCTCCAAAATTTATGGGTAAAGCGGGGAGCACAGACTTTTCCATAACGCATAAAGCATGTGCATAAGGAATTTCATTGGTCCATTTTCTTATGCATGAGTCAATGGACAAATCAAATTCTTTATGTATATGGTTTATGCGTTATGCAAAAGTCTGTGTTCCCCGCTTAAAAGTATGTCTTAATGCATGCGCGAATCTCACAATTTTCATCACGGCGTCGATGTCACGTGTGGATACTGCGTCAATGGCTACGTTTACACCACGGAGGTAAAGGAGAGAGCATAAAGGCCGCAGCACACACCTTTGCATAACGCATGAACCATATACATAAAGAATTTGATTGGTCCATTGACTCATGTATAAGAAAATGGACCAATCAAATTCTTTATGTATATGGTTTATGCGTTATGCAAAAGTCTGTGCTGCAGCCTTAAGCGGGGAGCACAGACTTTTGCATAACGCATAAACCATATACATAAAGAATTTGATTGGTCCAATGACTCATGCATAA